AGAGAACACTAACCTTGCTTGAGGTGACTTCTGGCGTGGAGGACAGGAAGGCAGGTGGGGAGGCGGTTATTGTTTGGAGGGAGAGTCCCCCTCACCTACAGGAAGCCACGACCACGTGTCAGAGCAGGGAAGATGGCCGCGGGTCGTGTTCGTCACCCAATGCAGAGTTCGCGAACGGAAGCAAAATTTTGCAAACAGTGCTGTTCGTGAACCAAATTGTTCGCGAACAGAAGCGTTCGTGAACCGAGGTATTACTGTATTTATTAATGAAATTTATATAGCTTTCAAATTTTGGGATGCCTTCAAGTCAGTGTTGACTCCTAGCAATTGCCTGGACTAGTCCCTGCAGCTTTCTTGGCAAGATTTCAGAAATTCCATTTCAGAAATTCCTAGGGCTAAGAGAGAGTGACTGGCCCAAGATCACCCAGATGGCTTTGTGCCCAAGGCGAGACTAGAACTCACAGTCTCATGGTTTCTAGCCTGGTATCTTAACCACCACACCAAACTGGCTGTCATAAAATGGGTTAGAACACATTGATGCAAATAATATGGACTTGTCCCACTATTGTCCCATTGTAGTTCACTATCCATAATTTTGGGAAGAGTAATATGGTAAATTATATACCAACATTTTAGAATTTATAACTCTATTAAAAACTATAGATTAACTGATCAATAGTACAACACAAAGATAAACCCTTAGTATCTTCTAATATGTGAACAGGAAAGAAGAATCCATGCAACAGATTACAGAGATATTAAATAATTTAAAAATCTGAGAGGAATTCACAGAGGCCAACTGTGATTCTGACAAAGTGGTAGACAGAGACTTTATTTCAGTCATTAATCAATAAAATACATTCTATAAAATATACACGGCAAAATTATCCCGTATTATCAATAACTGTTGGCAACCATTTGTGGGCGAAGCTTACACATAATGTAGCAGAATTGTGCTACTTTTAGAGAAATAAATTTATCTTGGTTGTTTTACAGATAATGCAAATAAAAATTATCAAGAGTGCCCTGGAAATTTAAATAAAAGTGGGATAATCAACTGGTGGCAAATGTCCCTGTGGAACTGACAATACAAAAGAACATGAACTGTGGTTTCTATGGCACCTTCTGTATGGGGCATAAAGACCAAAACAATTAGTGGGGCAGCTATCTTGTGCACTGTGGTTAAAGTTTGCATAAGATCCTTTAACATCTTCAGTAGATCTTCCTGTTCACAGCCTGGCAAGGCTCCAAGGGTGTCAATTCATTCTGCCTCCAATGATTTGGCTGCTATCTGTCCTCCTCTCTCTGCCTGACATTGCTTATCTGAATAAGCTTCTCCCAGGGACAGGGCTGGATTGTTATCTTTGCAACTGGTGGCAACAACAGCAGCCTCCATTCCTTGGTTCTCATTTGAAGTGCTGGCAATCTCCTGATATAGTGACTCAATAAGCGGGGAGATCTGTGTCTCACACAATACATGCCTTGGAAATATTAAGAAAGTGGTCAGCATGGGCTTCATTTTAAAGAGCATACTTGGAATTATAGACTGCTTAAATGTCAGTAGAATTCGTTTACAGCCCATCTTACCAGGGAGCCACTCCACCAAATGTAAGTCAAATGCATTGAAGTAACAGGCTTAGGGAGTAAAGTATTGCTTTCTTTGAGCTTCACTGTCCCCTGTTGAGTCTATTAAGGATAATCTGTAGATAAATCTGATTAGTTTGCAGCACTCAGTTATTTTGACTTTGATTTTCAGCCCTTCCATGTCTCAAAAGTTGAAGGACATCTTTTTAGGGGGGTTGTTCCCTTTTCTCAGTCAATTCAGCTGTAGAGTCTTTATTTTGGGTTACAACAGCTTGAACATTTTTAGATCCAGAGCTTTCTACTTCAGCAAACTGGGATAATTTATTATGAAGGGACCGAATAAATATATCAAAAGATTATTTCAGTGAGTCCACTTTCACTTTTATTTCTGTTAGATAATCAAAAATTGATAGTTCAATCTGTGCCATCAGTAAGCCTTGCCTAGACACAAGTTTCATTTTTAGAAATCTCTTCCTGACAGCTTTTTGTAATAAATGCTGCAACCAAGCACATAGCTGGTTCAGAAGGGGAAACTGTTATGTAAAGTGCCCAGGGAATTTGGTTCCCCGGTGTTGTAAGTGGGCTGATCTACTACACTTTCATCTTGTGGGTACCAATCATTATCTATTTAGAGTATGCCCGGGGCTTGGTTTATTGATAATGCTAATGCTGGTACTGTCATTACTTATATTTTCGTCTTCAGCCATCTTCTTTTTCAATTCCATGAGATCATCTATTTTTTGTTGCTTGGATGGTTTGAGCAATATCTGCATGCCAGAATTCATTCTTTGTTGTTTCTTCCTCTTTCCCGTGCTGTAATCTTCTCTTCACAAAGTGTATAAACAGTTCTTACCCAATTTGTTTGGAAATTAATCATATACAGTTGCTCATGGGGGTCAGTAATTAAAAAGGGAATTTGTCTGATAATGTAGAGTAGAAATAAAAATTTGCCAGAGCACTCTGATAGCTAGATGCTTTCACTTTGCCATCTTGAAAGAACTCAAGTGATAGACTCCTGGTAGTGTTACTGCTCTAAATAATTTCCCTAACTACTGAAGTCTATATATTCTTTGTTTTCCATCCCATTAATTTAAAGGAAAATTGAGGAAGATCATATGCACCCAGTACAAGCCAGAGTGATGTCATCAGAGTCATGACAGCATCATTCACACAATTGTGATACAATTCACAACATTTGTGTGGTGATATCATGAACACATGTGATGCCATCCAGTCATGGATGCCCATGCGGAAGCTAATATTCATAAAATGTTTCTTAAACAAGAAAGTACATAGTGTTGACCATGCTATCTCTGAATTAAATCACTGCTCCTCAGTTAAATGTCACTTTCCCTGAAGTTGGTCAATTTAATTGATAAGCAACAATATCAATATTTCTCTATCATTGAAATTCAGCTTCGTCCTTATTCTGCATGTCAATGCTAAGCCAAAATCATTTAGGTTTATCATATTAAGTGACCCCAGACACTGTGACTTGTAAAACACAGTTTATGCCTACAGTGCTGGAAAAGCAAGCTGATTTATTTTTTAAAAAGTCATAATTAATAAATGGTGCTTTATGCCAGCACTGCTAGATTTGGGCTGCAAAACTCCAGTGACCAAATAGCAAAGAGATAAAGAAAATTCTAACTTTTTGCTCCATCAAATTGTCTGGATTTTTGCTGTCCAATTCTGATAGCAATATTTTGTACAAACCATGTCTCTGTGTTTGTAGAGAGCACCCCATCTCCATGAGAAATGGAGTATCAGTTTGAAAAAAGGCACTTTTGGATAGCAGTAATTCATAAAGCTAAATGGTAGTTTAATAAGTAGGGAGAATATACCAGGAATCAATTTTGTTGAACCTGACTCCTGGTATACTATTTGTTGCAAATCAGGAATTGTGGTTTAAAATAAAACATTTCTTAAACAAATCAGGATTGTAACTGTGTTATTTAGCCGTGAGTAGAATTTATTTTAAAATGCACTTTGCATGTAGTGACAAATATGCATTTCACACTGAGTCCTGGTTAATTTGTCTTCCTAGCCAGGTGGAAGGAAAACATCTAAATGTTGACTTGGATTCATTTATTTTGATGTATGTCATGTTCAATCATGGTTTAATATTCTATGTGAATCTTCCCACTAAGTACCTAGTTAGTTTGTTTTTTCATTTAAAAAAAGGTAATTAACCTGGATTCCAA